GGGGCAAACGCTTACGTTCTACTAGCATTCTGCCGCTGATCCTCCCACGGCTCGGTCTCGAAGGCGTGCTGGTGCCTCTTGAGGAACTTCGCGATCACGCCCTCGTTCTCCTCACGAGCGGCGAGCATACCCGTGCGGTCTGGACTGCGGGCAGCGACTCCGTGGATCCGCGGTCGCATGGCTCCGGTCCGCGCGGGGCACCCGCGGAACAGCGCGCTGTGTCCACGGCGTCGCGGGCTCGGGGCCTGGCTCGCGAGGCCGTGGACACGGATGGTCAGGCGCTCGGGCTGCGCAGACAGCCCCGCCCAGGCAGTTCCCGCTGGCGTCGCCGGGCCGCCCGGGCAGTTCCGGCCGGCCTCAACGAGCCCCCCGAGGCGGTCTCGACGCCTCGCCCTCAGGGGCGCGGGGCGCCCCCTGAGGGCGCTCCCCGAGGCGGCGCCAGGGTGCTGAGCCCTGGACGCCCCGAAACCTGAACCAGATACGGCCAAAAGGGGGGGTCCAAGAGGGGGGGGGTGCAAATCATGACCGACGGCACGTGCGCGGCCCAGCGGGGGGGGTGAGGGACGTGATGAAATAAGAAGAGGCGCCATGACATCTGGGGAACAAGCATGGCCCCCGCAATGATATGCCCCCCCTCTAATCATCACCCCCCTCTTTTAAAACAGGGCTAGGATCGGGATAAATCGCTCCCGAGCGTTCCGGAGCGCTCTCAGAGCGTTCCGGAACGCTCTGGAGCGGCCGCGGCGCCCAATACATCCTCCAAACCCGCCGATTCTCAGAGATTTCGAGTTCTCCCGATCCGATTTTGTCCCGATCTTCGCGTCGTTTTATCTTTGCCGCCCCCGATTTTACGCCCACGATCTCCTGCTCGGAGAGCGCGCACGTGCAGTACAGCACCAGCCCGCCGGGCTTCACCAACGACGCCGCCGTCCTCAGCAGCTCCAGCTGCCGTGACGCGTTGGCCTTCACCGCGCCCGCGGCCCAGCTCGAGAGCGCGGCGGCGCCCTGGTGAGCGAGGTGCCGGTCCGACGTGCAGGGCGCGTCCACGAGCACGCGGTCGTACGGCCCGAGCCGCTCGATGGCGACCGGCCGGCTGCCGCTCGCTGCATCTGCCGTGGTGACGGACACGCGGCCAGCCGGGCCCATCAGCGCCTCCGGCAGAGAGGACGACAGCACCCGCTGGAGCCTCTGCGCCCTGGGCCTGGACGGCTCGTTGCACACAAGCCTGCCGCCCGCGCAGCCAGCCCCTCCTCTTTGAGCAGGGACCGACCGTCCCGGCACTCCTATAGTCCTACCACGACATGGTCTTAGAACCCAAGCATGTTCTAAGAACAGAAGCAATGTTCTTAGAACATTAACCCTATGTGAGAAAACAGGACATGCACCGCCAGAAGTGATCTGAGAACATTTCGTGGGAACCACAAAAGGCTCCTAGAGCATTGTTTGGTGGGGCTATAGGCACGCCAGGACGCTTCGCTACTGCTTGATCCTCTGGAGAACATCGCGGTGGCCAGCGAAGTGAGCCCCACCCTCCCCCTCAGAAGTCGTGGGGGGTAGGGGTAGGGTTCGCATGTGGCCCCCTACTGGAGCCTCTGCGCCCTGGGCCTGGACGGCTCGTTGCATACAAGCTTGCCGCCCGCGCAGCCAGCCCCTCCTCCGGAGAACATCGCGGTGGCCAGCACCAACGACTTGCCCCCAGGCGCCGCGCACAGGTCGAGCACCGACTCCCCGGGCCTGGCGCCCAGGGCCAGCGCCGCCAGCACCGAGGCGCCGTCGAGGAAGTAGCAGGGCATGCGCTCCGTCTCCATGTCCTCCAACCGTCTTCCCCTCCTCCCCCTCCTCCTCCTCCTCCTCCTCCTCCTCCGCCTCCTCCTCTTCCCCTCCTCCTCCTCCTCCTCCTCCTCCTCCTCCTCCTCCTCATCATCATCATCATCATCATCATCATCATCATCCTCATCGCCCTGCTTCACCTCATCCTCTCCTTGCTCCTCCCCCTCCTCCTCCACCAACTCACCCCCCTCCTCCCAAAACTCTTTGCTCATCTACTGCCAAGTGAAATGTCTTCCTCATCCTCTCGTCTGCCATTCCTCCTTCGCATCCTCCTCTTCCTCCTTGCTCCTCATCCAGATTCCCGTCATACACCTGCTCCTCCTCCTCCTCCTCTTCCTGCTCCTGCCCCTGCTCCTGATCTTTCTCATCCTCCGCATACCGTCCTCAAGGCCTCCGCGACCGAAAGGGATGCTCCACTCCATCTAAAATCCTTCTTCTTATAAATCACTTCTCCGTCGCACGCCGAAGCCGGTCGAAAGGCAGGCCGGGCGTTTTGCCTGAGACTTCCTCACCACTTGTGACCCTGAAGCTTAAACATCGGCAACAATTTCACATATGGAGGGCGGGTCGTTTTCAAAGGTGGCTCTCGCCTTAGCGCCGCGCACATTCGTTTTCAACACTACGTTAACGGATTGAAGGCGATTCGTTTTCAATATGTGGTCCTCGCCTTAGCGCCGCGCACAATCCTTTTCAAAATTGCATGGGTTTGACGAACTGGCATGGTCAACGTACCAGAAAATGGCGTTTTAGAAATATTCAATATTGTGAGGGTGCGCCAATTACGCTTACACGCCGGTCGGAAGAAGTAGGTAGAAACATGAAACAGGAAGGCGGATATAGTGGATTGGGTCCAGGCCCTCCCAGAGAATAACAAAACACAGCAAAAGCATGTCGATTCTTGAAGTAGGAAGGCGCTTGAATTAGATTGGGATCTAAGAATCCCAAAATACCTACTTTCAACGACCAGCGTGTATTCGCGGTGTTGAAGTCCCAGAAATGACGTTCTGGCACGACTCAGGGTCGTCAAGACGCAACCGTCAGGTTGATCCGTGGCGTTGGAGTCCCGAGAATACTAGTTTGGCATGCTTCAGGGACTTCAGACCGTTGTCTTCCAACGAGGCAGTTCCCTCAGTGGAAATGAACCCTTGTAGGGGCCTGTTACGAAGGAGCTTGGAGGGAGGCTGTATGCCAACATCGTTGATAACTCTTGGGTTTACCTGGTCCTCCTCCTCCTCCTCCTCCTCCTCCTCCTCCTCCTCCTCCTCCTCAGCCTCCTCATACCGTCATCAAGGCCTCCACGACCGAGAGGGCTGCTCCGCTCCTCCTCATCCTTCTCCTCCTCCTCCTCCTCCTCCTCCTCCTCGTCCTCGTTCTCCTCCTCTTCTCCTCGCCATCCTCCACTTCACTCTACTCCAACCCACCCCACTCCACTCCACTCCACTGAACTCCACTCCACTCCACTCCACTCCACTCCACCCCACTCCACTCCACTCCACTCCACTCCACTCCATTCCGCTCCACTGAAATCCACTCCACTCCACTCCACTCCATTCTGCTCCACTCTACTCCACTCCACCCCTCTCCACTCCACTCCACTCCACTCCACTCCACTCCACTCCACTCCACTCCACTCCACTCCACTCCACTCCACCTCCTCCAACTCCTCCACCTCCTCCTGCTCCTCCCCTCCTCCTCCTCCTTCTCCTCCTCCTCCTCCTCCTCCTCCTCCTCCTCATCCTCCTCCCCACCTCATCCACCTCCTCCTCATCCTCCTCCAGCTCCTCCACTTATCCTCTCCCTCCTCCTCCTCCTCCTCCTCCTCCTCCTCCTCCTCCTCCTCCTCCTCTTCCTTCTCCTCCTCCTCCTCCTCCTCCTCGCCCATTGCTCCTCCTCCAAGGAGACTCCTCTGGGGCGCCCGACACCAGCAGGTCGCCCTCCTCGTCGGCGCCGCCGGGGGGCCTGGCCTCCACGCGGCAGGCTAGCGGGATGGTCTCGTGGCTCCGGAGGGCCCTGTCGGCCTGGAGGGCGCAGTCATCGGCGTCGGCGTCGCCGGTGTCGGGGGAGGAGGAGGAGGAGGAGGAGGAGGAGGAGGAGGAGGAGGAGGAGGAGGAGGAGGAGGAGGAAGAGGAGGAGGAGCAGGAGGAGGAGGAGGAGGAGGCGGAGAAGGAGGAGGAGGAGATAGGAGGGGGGACTGGGTCAAGCTAGGTGCGGCCGCGCCGCATCTGGCATCATGCCCCTCCCAACCATACCTTCTCCTTTCGTTGAATATGCTTCTATCCGCCAACTGGGATGCCCTAGAGGACCGCTATTCCCGAAACTGCAGCATTTGACTCAGAATATGGCCCTAGGGGCGCCGCCCGCATGCGCCCGACCCACCCATTTCGGCAGACCCTTGTGGCCCCGTAGTGAGCTCCGCCGACGGTCCCACGGGCGCCGCCCGTATGCGTCCGACCCATTTATTTCGGCACACGCCTCCCGAGGATCGTGGCCCCACAGGGAGCTCCACCGAAGGTCCCAAGAGCGCCGCCCGCATGCTTCCGGCCCACCCCCTTCGGCACACCCCATCACGAGGATCGTGGCCCCATGACGAGCTCCTCCGAAGGTCCCACGGGCGCCGCCCGCATGCGTCCGACCCACTCATTCCGGTACACCTTTCACGAGGATCGTGGCCCCACAGGGAGCTCCACCGGAGGTCTCAAGGGTGCCGCCCGGTCCACCCATTTCAGCACACCCCTCACAAGGATCGTGGCACCTAGGAAGCCCCACCGAAGGTCCTATGGGCGCCGCCCGCATGCGTCCAACCCATGTCGGTACACCTCTCACGAGGATCGTGGCCCCATGAGGAGCTCCGCCGACGGTCCCACGGGCGCCGCCCACATATTTCGGCACACCCCATCCCACGTTTCGTGGCTCGTTTGGCCTGTTTGGGTGCTCCACCGAAGGTCCGAATGGCTCCCTTGGGGGAACCACCGAAGGTCCTAGGGGCGTCGCCCGCATGCGTCCGACCCACCCATTCGGCACACCCCTCGCATGTTTCGTCGCCCCATAGGGAGCCCCACCGAAGGTCTCAGTGACGCCGTCCGCATGCGTCCCCGCCACCAATTTCGGCTAACTCTTTGCACATGTCGTGCCCCACTTTGGGGGCCCCACCGAAGGTCCCAATGGCGCCGCCCACACGCGTCCGAGCCACCCATGTCGGCACACCCCTCACACGTTCCGTGGCCCCTTTGAAAGCTCCGCCCAAGGTCTCAGTGGCGCCGCCCGCATGCGTGGCCGCCACACACGTCTGCACACTCCTCACGTTTCGTGGCCCTACTGGAAGCTCCACCGAATGTCCTAGTTGCGCCTCCCGCATGCGTCCGCGCCACCCATTTCGGCACACCCCTGACAGGCTTCATGGCCGTATAGGGAGCTCCACCGAAGATGATACTGACAGGTCCGCTACTCACAACTGCATATGGTTGGGTCTTTCGCTGGGCTCGCTCGGCGAATTAAATGCGAATGCGCGCGGCGCGAATTAAAACGAGCCGCCCTGAATACGTGAAACTCGGTCACATGCTTAAGAAGACGAGCGTGCGCGGCGCTTAAAATGAAACCAGAAGTGAAAAGCGACCCGCCTTCAATCCGTGAAACTCTTGCGAATGTTTACGACGAGTGTGTGCGGGGCTGAAGCCAGAGCCACATGCTGAAAACGGCCCGCCCTCCATCTGCGAAGATGTTGCCAATGTTTCAACTCCAGGGTAGACGCCGGGCCTGGCCTTCCAACCGGAGTCGGGGTGTCACAGGGAGGAGTCACTTATGAGGAAAGGCAAGGATGGAGGAGGGGGAGGAGGAGGAGGAAGAGGAGGAGGAGGAGGAGGAGGGGGAGGAGGAGGCGGCGGAGGAGGAAGAGGAGGGGGAGGAGGAGGGAAACGAGAAGGGGGGCGGGGCTGGAATGGCACCGGCCTTGATCTGGGCCTGCGCATCCAGGGGCAGGAAGTGGTTCACGAGAGCGACGTGCTCCACCGGCCCACGCAGGGCCTTGCACAGGCCCCTCCAGCGCTCCTGGGACTTGGGGGGGGACAGGGAAGAGGACATCATTCTATCCCGCTCCTCCTCCTCCTCCTCCTCCTCTTCCTCTTCCCCCGCCACCTCCTCCTCCTAGTTCCCCTCACCCCTCCTCCTCTTCCTCCTCATCTACATCCTTCTCTCCTCCTCTCTCCCCTCCTCCTCTTCCTCCTCTCCTCCTCCTCCTCCTCCTCCTCCTCCTCCTCCTCCTCCTCCCCCTCCTACTTCCCCCTCCCCCTCCTCCTCCTCCTCCTCCTCCCCCTCCTCCTCCTCATCCTCTTCATCATCATCATCATCATCATCATCATCATCATCATCATCATCATCATCATCATCATCATCATCATCAGCCTCATCCTCATCGTGCTGCTTCGCCTCCTCCTCCGCCTCCTCCTCCTCCGCCCCCTCCTCCTCCTCCTCCCTCTCCTCCTGCCTCCTCCTGCCTCCTCCCGCGCGCGCTCCCGCCAGGCTCCTTTCCGAAGGCCTTTTGGTACGTGGCCTGCCATCCTGCCTCGCGGTCGGGCCCGAAGAGTCTGGGACCGTGAGGTGGAGGTGGAGGAGGAGGAGGACGACGACGACGACGACGTGGAGGAAGAAGAAGAGGACGACGACGAAGACGTGGAGGAGGACGATGACGAAGAGGTGGAGGAGGAAGACGAGGACGACGACGAAGACGTGGAGGAGGAGAAGGACGACGACGAAGACGTGGAGGAGGACGACGACGACGTGGAGGAAGAAGAAGAAGAAGACAAGTGGTGGGGATGAAGGCAGGGAGCAGCAGAGCGGGGGAGAGGGGGAAACCGGGAGGGGGAAGGGGAGAGACAGAGAGAGAGAGAGAGCAAGCTATGTTTACACGGGCCATTTCTGGCATCCCACTCCTCCCACCAATCCGTTCAACTTGCGTTGTTTGTTATACCCACCAGCGGGTATCTTGGCGGACTTAGAACCCCAGAAGGACCGCATTGTGCCAGGCGCAATCACACAAGGGAAGCTGTGTACAGTGGAGAAGGTGGCGAATGAAAATGAAAATCAGCAGGAGGATGAGGAGGATGAGGAAGGTGAATGGCGAGGAAGACCAAACACAACAACAATGAGAAACAACAACAACCACAACAACAACAACAACAACAACAATTACTAGCACGTGGGGACACTCCGTTCTCACCAGTGCCAGGGTTTTCATACGACGCCCGCCAATACCCCCACTTTGTGGGGGGGCCGGTTCAAGCTCTACCACATTTCCAAACGACTCTTCGCCACCACCCACACCCAGCTTCCCGCCCTATGACGTTCGGACACTTCACTTCGTGGCCTGCGGACGACCGTGGCTACTACACTGGCGCATGGGTACAGTGACTTGTTGTGGTAACATTTTCTGGACGCTAGCTTAGTATACGACTTTTCCCCCTGTTCGAACACTGGACACCTGTACTGGTTTTTGGTGGTAACGTGTTCCTGACGCTAATGATGGTTAACGACGCGACACGCGCGCATGTGTCCCGCATGGTATGTTTTGCAAGGGATGGCCCCTGGCAGGCGCGCGAACGCCGTTGAAAGAGCTTGCGAAAGTAGCTCGCGCGAGCTCATGTAACATAAATGTTGAAAAACCATTGGTTTTTTAGGATTCGGACAGCGCGCGCGGGTAGAAATTTTGAAAATTCGTACAGATGTTTTTCGAGGACCTACGGTGCGATTCGTATGATTTTATGTTGCGCGGTGCTAAAATTCCTAAGAAACCCAATGGTTTTTGAAGATTTCGGCGTGCGCGCGCGAAGAAAAAACGAATGTGTCCCGCATGGTATTATTTGACAGGGATGATGGCCCTGGCAGGTGCGCAACCGTTGTTGCAGAAGTTCGAAAAAGTTGCTCGCAAAAGCCCGTTTGACAGAAATGTTTAAAAAGTGTTGGGTTTCCTACGAATCCGCAAGAGCGCGCGGGATGAAATTTTGACATTTTTTTTTGAAAAACCATTGGTTTTTTGATGTTTTTATGTTAAAATCGCTACGAACACTAAGGTTTTGGAAGGATTTCGTCTTGCGCGCGCGAATGTCCACTTTACCTTATTTTTTGCAAGGGATTCTTGAAGTTTGGTTATGTTAGAACAAGAAATGTCCACTTTGCCTTATTTTTTGCAAGGGAAAACCGCCCGTAACAAAACAACCGGATCCGGACCAACCCGTTTTGCCGGAGACTTCCTCACGAAAATGATGAAAACATGGCTGCGGCCTAGGCGCGGCGAGGGGGCCGTGCACCAGGGGCCCCAACAATAATTATTCTTTAGAAGTAATAATGTTCAACAACAACAAAAACAACAACAACAACCACAACAACAACAACAACAACAACAACAACAACAACAACAACACCGACAACGACAACAACAACAACAACAACAACAACAACAACAACAACAAAAACAAAAACAAAAACAACAACAACAACAACAACCACAACAACAACAACAACAACAACAACAACAACAACAACCACAACCACAACCACAACCACAACCACAACAACAACACGAACATGATTCGGAAAAGCGGGAGGAGGAGGAGGATGACCAGGAAAAGGCGGGGAAAGGAAAGCAGCGGGGTCACAACAATGAGGAAGCACTCAGATGCTTAAAAGTGGCCCGCGCCATTTAGAACGATAGGAGCACAGCGCCGATCCTGAATGTAGGCCAAGGCTGTGGCGGGAACACCTTTATGAGACCCCAAAAAGGTGTCGATTGAAACTATGGGGGGGACCGACGTTAGAGATCCTGCATGTAAAGAATAATATCTGCGGAGAGGGCCGACTATCTCCCGGACGGGGTGAGGGGAGCGAGGGGAGTAGTATTCAGAATGTGCAAGTGTAGATGTGAACACCAACAGCATGATCATAATGATGGCGATGAGGGGGTAGGAGTGGGGAAACGAGAGGAGAATGAGGATTAACATGAGGCCTCGGAGAGGTGAGAAGAAACATGGGGATGGGAAGTGGGAGGACAAGAGGGAGAGGGAGAGAAGGGACAGGGGAGTAAGTAGAAGCGGTGGAAATCGCTCCTCTCCCAAGCCTTCCCCCGCCCCCCATTCCCGTGCCGCATGGCCGAAAGCTCACTTCCTCGTCCTCATCCTCCTATTCCGATTGGAATCGAGCGGCCTCGGTCATCGCCAAGGTTGGGTTCTCACCTCATGTGCAGCCTCTCTGGCATCAGTGTACATCGTCCTCCTGCTCCTCCTTTTTCTCCTTCTTCTCCCCCCCGATCCCTCCCCTCCCCCGCCTGCTTCCCTCCATTTCTTTATCCATTCGCTTATTCTGCCGCTCTCCTCACTGTCCTGCTCTCTCCGTGCGGGGGATACGGCGACCCTGTGAGCGGGACGGAAGGGACACCGAGGGGCCACCGTGTGGCACTTCTCGCCTGGGTCGAGACCATCAGGCGGCCCTTCCTGGCAAGATAGGCCATTGCAGACTCTTGCAATAAAACGATAGGACCACCATGGGCCCTCGCAGCCCACTCGTTCAAGCTGGGAGCTCCGCGGGCGTACATTGGCTCGCCTAGTCCTTCAGATGTTTCCCTCCTTCCATGCGAACGCGGGAATGCATGATGGATCCGTGGTTCTGGCGCGTGGGCGCCAGACCCTTTGATCTGTTAAAGTACCCCCCGAACCATGAGGCCAATGCCGCCTAAATTTGCGACGGAGTGCGACCGTTATCAAGAGAATCGGGACCCGTTGCGAATCCGCGCGCCTCAATCCATGTCCGCGCTTCCTCGACCCTTCCCTGCGAGGCCGTGGTGTATCAAAATCCACCGCCTGGGCATCGATCTTCGGGGACACGGGCATCCCCCCGGGGCCTGGATATGACCATGTCCACCGCCCGCCGAGGTCCCCGAAGATCGATCCCCCACACGGTGCTTATGGGTAGATCCCCGCCTTGGGCTTCCCCCGTCCTTCCCCCCCCCGCCCTCCCTGGCACCTGGGGAAACCAGCCGGTACCAATATCGCTGCTCCCCAGACCTCTCCCGGAGTGCGTTCTGACCAGGAGTCCGAGGCGAATCCAGCAGTGGCGGCGATGGCCTCCCATTAGGCCCACAAAGGTGAAAACGAGGCAAGGGGTAATGGTATTGGAACCCTGTACTCCCCCTCCTCTTTCTCCTCCTCCTCCTCCTCCTCCTCCTCCTCCTCCTCCTCCTCTCCTCCTCCTCTTTCTCCTCCTCCTCCTCCTCCTCCTCCACCTCTGCCTCCTCCTCCTCCTCCTCCTGCTCCTCCTCCCCCGCCTCCGCCTCCGCCTCCTCCCCTCCCCCCCCTCCCCCTCCTTCTCTCCTCTCCTCCTCCCCTCTCCTCCTCCTCCTTCCTCCTCCTTCCCCTCCTCTGAGCACCCCCCCACCCACCCACCCCCAGCCACCCTCACGGCCTCCCCCCGCAGGGACATCGCCGAGCGCCGCGGCTGTCCCGCCGCGCCGTCGCCAACCCCACGGTGGGGGGGGAGGAGGGGGCGGGGAGGCGGCGCGGCCGCAGGGGACGCCTGCCGCGGGGAGGGGCCCGCGGAAGGAGAGGAGAGGTCTGGAGTCCTGGAAGCGGCAGCCGAGGAGGCGGAGAGGAGGGGAGGGGGGAGGGAGGGGAGAGAGGGGAGGAGGGGGAGGTGGGAGGGGGGGAGGGGGGGGGAGCGACGGGGGAGGGGGGAGGGGACGGGGGGAGGGGACGGGGGAGGGAGGGGAGGGGAGGGGAGGGGAGGGGGAGGGAGGACTGGGATAGAGGGGAGGGAACAAGCTGGATGCGCTCGCGCCGTATCCGACCTCCGATCTCTCCCACCCACTCCTTCCCCGTTCGTCCGACCCGGAACCCTAACAGAAATACCTCATCGTGTCACGCGCATTCAGGAAAGGGGAACTGCGCACACAGGAGGAGGAGGAGGAGGAGGAGGAGGAGGAGGAGGAGGAGGAGGAGGAGGAGGAGGAGGGGAGGAGGAGGAGACGGAAGGAGGCGGAGGAGGAGGAGGAGGCGGAGGAGGAGGAGGAGGAGGAGGAAGGGACAAGGAAGGGGAGGCGGAGGAGGAGGAGGAGGAGGAGGAGGAGGAGGAGGAGGAGGAGGCGGAGGCGGAGGCGGAGGAGGAGGAGGAGGAGGAGGAGGAGGAGAAGGATAATGAACAGGAAAAAGAGGACGAGGACGAACAGGAGGGGGAACGAGGCGGACGACGACGATGAACAAGGGCTCGCATCCAAAAAGGCGGCCGGCGCAAGAACAACAATGCCATCCTGAACGACGGGAGCCACGCGGCGATCCGAGGACGGGTCCCACGCTGCAGCGGGAACGCCATGTTGGAACAACGACAACAATCGGATTGCAACCGCAAGTTGCCCCGAGGCGTACCCAACCCCTTTTCGCGCTCCCATACAAATACAGTCGAGGCGTTGACCCGAGGAACCCCAAACAAGGAACGAAAGCCCCTATCTTCCATAAGTTAAACTTCGATTTCGTATCGAAGCCCTAAGGCAAATCTAAGGCAAGCTGCGAAACAATTAAGGAACACGGAGCCCCTCCCCAACGAGATGGGTTCGTTCTTCAGGGCCCCGACTGTAACACATTGCAAGACTCGCAGCACTTTGAAATTCTTTGGCGTAGCAGTGTCGGACCACGCGCGCCGCACACCTACGCAGGAGTGGGCCACCGAGGACAGCGCCACGCGCCACGTAACACTCCCGCGCTCTGCGACCTGTGATGCAGCAGCCCCGCGCGCGCTGCACTGGCGCGACGGCGCCACACGCCACCCCAGGAGCCCGTGACAGTGGCGACGGTTGCGCGATTCGCAGATCCCGACTGGACCGCGAAGCCTCAAATGCTCCGCGTTGCCCTACACGCCTCCGTGGCGCCCACGAGCCCTCGAGAAAGGCGATGGTTTTGCGCTTCTCGCAGCCCCCCGGGGGAGCCGCGAGGCGCTACCTTCGACTCTGCCGTGCCTCCCAGGAGCCCACGAAAGTAAGGACATGCGCGCCATTCGCAACCCTTCAGGGAGCCGCGAGATCTCGGCTGGGTCTGCGTGTAACTCCACTCCGCTGGACCTGCCAGGAGCCCACGAAGGTAGGTGGCGACAGGTGCGCAGTTCGCAGCTCCCCAGGGGGCCGCTCCAGGAGGGAGGAGGAAGGGGAGGAGAGGATGAGTGCAGACCACAGTGCTTTATTCATTCAGAGAATCCAACAGAGGAGGGTTGGGAATAACAAGCAGCTTTAAGAAATCCTGTGCGTCAAAGAACAGTACGCGTAAAAGAACTGTACGCGGAGCGGGCCAGAGATCTTCCGGACAGGGTCAGGGGAGAGGGGATGGTAGAACACATAATGTGTAATTGTCAAGGGAATGGAGGCAGAGCGAGGAGGGAGGGAGGAGGGGAGGAGAAGGACGGGAGGGAGAGAAAGAGGGAGGAGGAGGAGGCGGAGGAGGGGAGGAGGAGGAGGAGGCGGAGGAGGAGGAGGAGGAGGAGGTGGGGGAGAAGGGGAGGAGGGGGGCGGTGGGGAGGGAGGCGAAAGGGAGAGGCGCGGAGGGGAGACGCGAGGGAGGGAGGGAGGGGAAGGGGAGAGGGAGGGGGGGAAGGGAAGGGCGAGCCCTCGCTCCACCGCCGGCGGGAGAACAGGAGGGAGGGGGAGGAATGGTTGGGGGGGGGAGAGGGGAGGGTGCGAGAGCGGCAGGGAAAGGGAACTCGAGCGGAGGGACATGAGGGGATGAAGGCGAGGAACAACGCGGGAAGGCGACGTGGGTGGGGGGGGGACGGGGGGCGGGAGAGGGAGCAGCGAATTCCGGGAAGACGCGCTGCTGCCGGGCACGCGGGTGGGACTGCCCTTCTCCCGCTCCCCTTTCCCGGCCCATCGTCCAGATACCCCCGCTCCGTCCCTCCCTGGGCCGGTGAACCCCCCTCGCCTCATTTCAGGTCGGAGGTTGGTTGAACCCCCCGCCTCCTCCCTTGCGGGCCGAAAACTGGAACTCCCCTCTCCTCGTTATCTCCCTGATCGCTCTCCACAATACCTCAAATGCCCGAACCCTGACAACAAGCCCCCACTCCTGCAGCACAACCCTGACCCCAAACCCGAACCCGAAACAACAACCCAAACCCCGATAATTACCCTAAACCCATCCTCTAAAACCTTCCACCCTGACCCGCACTGTAAACTCAACCCAACGCCAAGCCCAAGCCATGACCTCCTGGATCTTGATCCAGGCGTGCCGACTCCTGCCGAGAATCCGCTCAAGCCTGGACCCTGCGCGAAGTAGAAGATACAGCCTGGCAGCCGAACAGGAGGGCACTGCAGCCGATCGCAGCCTGGACAACAGACTGCCTGTCAGCGTTGGCCACGTCGTGGGCGTCACCGCTGGGGGCGCCATCCGTTCTGACAGGATGCCGCAGGAAGTCGGAAGTGGCCCTCAGCCCCGTCGGGAGCGCCTCCCAGCGCTGGCGGGCCTGCACGGCCAACTGCCTCGCCGCTTGCCGTGGAGAGCAAGGGCCTGCCCCAGCTTATCCCGCTGGGGCAGCTCGGCGGGGAGGACCGTGGCCTGACGGAGCCACCGCTTGCCACTGGTCGCCAGGGTGATCTCCAGGGCGCAGCGGATCTTCCACGGGACGGGACCCCCACAACGGCGGCGACACCGAGCTGGTTTGTACCACCCCGCGGCGGCCAGGACGCAGTGGCACATCCCCCCTTGCCCCTGTCGCGGGTCACGCGCGTGTTGCCCGGCACCGCGATGATAGCACCAAGCCGGCAGTGCTGACGCAGACTGATGGTTCGGTGTTCCTTCGCCAGCGATGACACGCCATGGAGGCGCAGGCCGTGGCGCCCCTGCTGCCAAGCCGCCTTCCCTGGCGGACGCCTTGACATCGGAGGGCGTGCCGCTCAAGGACCTCGACCAGCTGGAGGAGGACGCCGAGAACGAGACCCTCGAAGCCGAGAGCGGTCTGTGGTCCTCGGCCGCCCAGGCCGAGCAGGACTCCGACGCCAAGGGCGCCGCACTGGATCAGTGGCGCCAGGCGGCCATCCGGGAGATCGCAACGGTGACGATGCCGAGGCCCAGAGCGGTGGCCCCCCTGGCGGAGGCCAAGTCGGCCGCGGAAGGCTTGGCGGGGCAGTGCGGCGGCCGATGGCTCAACAGCAGGGAGGCCCTGTCGAGGCGTGGCCTCCCGGTCCGCTCCGTGGTGGCATCCGCGGGCTCTGCCCCGTGGCAGTGTGCTGCCCCGCCGAGCACGGCAAGCAGTGCGACGTCGATGGCTTCTGCAAGGCATACCCCACATCGCAGGAGAGCTGCCCGACATCCAGTCGCACCTGCAGAAGGGACGCTGGAAAGTGACGGGCAACCTACACTAGGCACCGTAGCTGGGAAGTCCGTGGGCGTCGGCGTCACCGAAGGGCGAGATGATCGCCGCCGACGAGGCAGTGGCCACCGCCTCATTCGAGGGCCACCGTTGCGCAGCGCTGCAGGCCAAACGCCGTAAGCCCTCTTTCGGCGTCATCACGATGGTGGGGCGCTTGCAAAAAGGCCTCCTAGACGGGACCGGAGCAGATGGGGTCGGAGGATCACGCCGCATCGGCGACGCATCGGCGATGCATCGGCGATGCATCGGCGATGCACCAGCGATGCGTCGCCGATGCATCGGCGATGTCGGCGATGGATCGGCGACGTCGGCGTGGAGAAAATCGGGCTCCACATCAAGCCGCATCGGCGATGCATCGGCGATGCGGCGCGATCCTCAGACCTCATCTACTCGGACCCCATCTGGGAGGCCTGCCTGGATTGCAGAGGGGCAACGCCTACCTGGCAGTCGCCGACCCCGGGACCTGCGAGGGCGTTTTCTCAAGGCGGTGGGGGCGGCTTGGGCTCGCCCGCTGCGCACGCCTCCAGGAGCGCCCTGGCGACCTCGGAATCGTTCCCCTTGGGCTGGTTGGCCGTTTGACAAGCCCGAGCAACAAAAAGCCATCCCGCCACGGCGCGCCCAAGGACGAGTCCTCGGCTCCTTTGTCTGCCGCCGCTGCCCTCGCACCCACCTGCAGCGACGCGCCCGCCGCGGCTACCCTCCAGCCAGAACCCCGCTGGGGGGCCTCGGCGGGGTAGCGCTCAGCGCAAGCGGGGCGCTGCCGCTGCAGCACCAGACATTCTTGCGGAGGTTACAGCGGCAGTGCCGCGCCATGCAGCTGGGCGTGGCGGCCTTTCGCCACGAACCTTCTGCGCGGTGCGAGAAGATGACTCCTCACTTGCACTTGTGGGCTGCAGGAGGCAGGCAATACCCGGGAGCGGACCAGACAGCACGGGAGAGGGGCGCAGACCGGCCCGGGGCAGGGCCACCCTCCTGGCAGGCGCGGGGGCAGCATATCTCCCCCGCACCAGAGCCTTGAGCACAAGTGGCGGCGGATCCGAAGCAGACCCGCCGGAGAGGGGAGGGAGGGCGTGAGGCGACGCGCCGTGGCGGACACATGTCGCTATCCACGGCCTCACGGGTCGGGCCCCCAGGCCGCGAGCCCGTGGATACCGGCTGTTTTTTGCTCCGAACCATCCCGTGGTGTTGGGTCTTCGTTTGGAACAGACGGCCCCCCGCGTCCTCTCCTCCTCCTCCTCCTCCTCCTCCTCCTCCTCCTCCTCCTCCTCCTCCTCCTCCTCGCCCCCCTCCGTCCGCCCATCCCTGCCTCTGCCCTCCGCGCGCCAGACATTTCGGCGTACCCCTCACACGCTTCGTGGCTCCCTGGGGAGCTCCACAGAAGGCCCCAGAGGCCGCGTTCACATGCGGCTCCCCGCCCACCGCAGGTCCACGTCAGCACACCACTGACACATTCCGTGGCCCCATAACAACTCCACAGAAGGCCCCAGAGGCCGCGTTCGCATGCGGCTCCCCGCCCACCGCAGGTCCATGTCGGCACACCCCTGACACATTCCGTGGCCCCATAACAACTCCACAGAAGGCCCCAGAGGCCGCGTTCACATGCGGCTCCCCGCCCACCGCAGGTCCATGTCGGCACACCCCTGACACATTCCGTGGCCCCATAGGGAGCTCCACCAAAGGCCCCAGAGGCCGCAGTCGCATGCGGCTCCCCGCCCACCGCATGCCCACGTCAGCACACTCCTCACACTTTATGTGGCCTTCTAAGGAACTTCGCCGAAGGTCCCAATGCCAGCGTTCGCATGCGGCTCCCCGCCCACCGCATGTCCACGTCGGCACACCCCTCACACGCTTCGTGGCCCCATAGGGGGCTCCGCCGAAGGCCCCAGAGGCCGCGTTCGCATGCGGCTCCCCGCTCACCGCATGTCCATTCTGGCACACCCCTCACACGCGTCGAGGCCTCGTAGGAACTCCACCGAAGGCCGCAAAGGCCCCGTTCGCATGTGGGCGTCACGCCCGCTTCGGGACACCTCTCACACGATGCGTGGCTCCATAGGGAGCTCCACCGAAGGCCTGAGGCCGCCTTCGCAGTGGGTGTCACGCCCGTTTCGGCACAGCCTCACACGTTTCGTGGCACACCACTCACACGTTTCGTGACCCCGTGAGGAGCTCCACCGACAGCCCCAGAGGGAACGTTCGCATGTGGGCGTCGCGCCCGTTTTTGCATACCCCTCACGCGCTCCGCGGCCCCATGAAGAGCTCCGCCGAAGGCCCCAATGGCACGGTCCACATGTGCCCCCCCCGCCCCATTCCGGCATGCCCCTCGCGCGCTCCGAGGCCCCATGGGGAAGTCGACAGAAGACCAGACTCACAGCTGCGGCACTCACAACTTAAGATGCTTGGGTCCTCCGCCAAGGTGACCGCCGCAAATGCCCCGCGCAGAACGTATGCTTGCGACTGCGTATCCACGAGGTCGCGTCTTGGAATCCAGACTGCGAGGGCGTGGATGCAGTGGAGGCCAGTCCACATGAAACCTTCCACAGGGCCAGCCCCAAGACCCCAGGACGTCCACCGACTTTTTTGATGTGGGAACGCCACGTCCTCCGTCGCAAAACTATCGAAGCCCAAGAAACCCAGGGCACGCTGGAGGCAAGCAAGGTTCTTCTTGGCAGGGGCAGGAGAGCCCAGAATCGAATCGACAGGTCGGATCGGCGATCGAAATGGCTCGGATCGGCGGAAATCGGCAGCCGAGTCGGGAAAAGTCGAATCGGCGGAAATCGGCAGCCTAGCAGGCCTTCGTTAGGAAATCTGAGCCAAAATCGCAATCCGAAATCGGATCGAATCGGAATCGGAAATCATCGACATCGAATCGAATCGACTCGGAGGAATCGAAATTAGCCCTGCAGGGGCCTCCACCTTATGGAAGCACCGCGCATGCGCCCTGCAGGCGGGGAAGGCAACACCCGCAGGCGGCGGCGCGAGAGGCTCTGCGACGCCTCGAGGCGGGCGGCCGCACGCGGCGGCGCCGCCTCGGCGCCCCTCGGAGGGGCGCTGGCGGGCGCTGCAGGGGGAGGCAACTCCTGGGAGGCCTCCTTGGGCGCCCGAGTGATCTGGGGTAACTCGGGTCCGGGGTAACTCGGGTTTGGGTTCCCGAAAAACGAACCCGAGTTAGCCCTGACCCGAGTTACCCCTGACGATGTTGGGGCTCTGGACGCCCGAATTATCCAGGGTAACTCGGGTCCGGGGTAACTCGGGCTCGGATTCCCGAAAAACGAACCCGAGTGAACCCTGACCCGAGTTACCCCTGATGATTCGGGGCTCTGAGAAGGATTGAGAGCGCCTGCGCGCGATCAGTGGGCCAGTTTGGAGCCGGACCAGGCCGGCTTAGGCCAGGAAGTAATCAAACTCGGGCCGAATTCCATAACGGGGATTGGGCGGGGCCTTGCTGGATTCGGCTTCCCTTCGGCCACGGAGACACCGGGCGGGGATGCTGAATCTGACCTGCCAGGAGTTGCATCCTAAACGGCTGGAGGCCGCCGGGAGACGCCAACCACACCCAGTTTCCAGCGCCGCGGGGAGAATAATGGCGGGCCCTCTCGACCCGATCTCGGGCCCCAGGGCCCTATGACGGATCGATCCGTCCCGAGGTGTGCCGTAGAAAGTTTCGGCGAAGGGCTCCAACGGGGATTCATTCACGACGTCTTCGAGCTAATTACTCAATCGCGCGCGGAAATATATTCTCGACGCCGGCGCCGTTCAGAGAGGCGAACCATGGCCGAGTCGGCGCTTACCCGTCAAAATGCAAACGCGATAATCCCGAAGATGACGTAGCTTGGCCAAAATCTGGAACAGAACCTGGCCAGGACAGACGTGTGGGGGTACAGTTGGCGTCCTCCGATGCCGAACAAGAAAAACCTAAGAGTGCAGAGCGCGGCGCCCCATATCCTGACGACCATCTGCACCGCCTTCTCATCCTTGTCGTCTTCCCGGCCCTCCTCTCGCTGGTCCTCCCCATCCGCCTTGTCTCTCCCACCTCGCCCTCTCTCTTCTGCTGGGCCCGTAGTCCCTCCAAACCACCTGTTCGTCCTCCCGCTTGTCGCTGTTTGCTTCTCGCGACCTCACGCCAATCCGCCTCAGGATTCTGCGTCAATGGACATGGCCACCCATGAGTGCACAAATCGCGCACATCCTCCTCCGCCTCCGCCTCTTCATCCATCTCCTCCTCCCGGTCCTTCCCCCTGGTCCTCCCGGTCCAGTCCCTCGCCCTCCGCGCCCCGTTGCTCCTGCTGAAGCCTCTTTCTGAACACGTAACTCCTTCCTGTCGGTTCCTTTTCGAATGGGGTTCCCGCTTGACCCATCCTCAAGAATCCACGAGTCAAAATTGTGCAACCGTCATTCGGATGAAGGACGACGCACTTTTTGACGGGGCTCTCGCTTGATACACCGTTACTTCATCCTGACAAGACATCTGCAATTGTCAAGCACTTGCGCGAATGGAGGGCAGATCCGTTTCAAAAAGGAGCTCCCGCCAGACACTTCCTCGAACTGAACTTATGAGTGGAGGCCAGTCCAGAAGACATCCAACCCGGAGACCCCAGGACGTCCACTGATCTCTCGTGTGGGAAAGTTGCGCGTTCCATGGCGCAACCATCGAGACCCAAGAAACCCAGGGCACCCTGGAGGCAAGCAGGGTATGTCTTGGCATGGGCCTCGACTGTACGTTCCGCCGGTGCACGTCCTGCACGCAGCCGAAGAAAGGCATGGAGGGTCCTCTGCAGAGCAGGAACCTCGCCTGCATGGCAGACCCAAGGCGCGCTCGTCTGTCCAGGGAACGCTCTTTTTTCCGAGGGAGAGGGAATACTTGACGTAAGGACGCACGAAGAGGGGACTTGGGACTGGGGCGTACTGCAACATCGTTGACCAATCCTGGGCTTGCTCTAGCCCTCCTCCTCCTCCTCCTCCTCCTCCGCTGCTGCTGCTGCTCCTCCTCCTTCTCTTCTCTCACCATCTCCACCTCCCCCTCCTCCTCCTCCTCCTCCTCCTCCTCCTCCTCCTCCTCCTCCCCTCCTCCTCCTCCTCCTCCTCCTCCTCCTCCCTCCTCCTCCTCCTCCCCCCTCCCTCCCTCCCTCCCTCCCTCCCTCCTCCCTCCCTCCCTCCCCTCCCTCCTCCCTCCCTCCCTCCCTCCCTCCCTCCCTCCCTCCCTCCCTCCCTCCCTCCCTCCCTCCACCACTCCTCCCGTTCGTCGTTGCCCCCCACTCATTAAGTGTGCGCCTCGCGAGGAGGTCGGCTGGCTCTGGCGCAAGTAATAAGCTATGTACGAGCGCTCCTGAAAAATGACTTCGCCCGCGGGGCAGGGCAGTGAGACCTCCTGTCAGGGAGGCCCCAGGGAGCAGGAAAGGGATACGTGGCCCGATTTGGAAACTCTTGCGTATCTTCAGGGCCACATGTGGATTGCTTGGGCCATCTTAGGGGCCATCTTGTAGCCTGTGTGGGTCGCCTGGGGGCCAGAAACCCTGCAAACTACAGTAGGTCCCCGCCCCACGGGCCACAACACATGAGAGTAATACGAGACTTCGCTCAAGCTCCTCCCAGGACTTCCAAAGACCTCCAGATCCATCCCAGGCCTTTTCTGGGGCCTCCCAATGCCTCCGAGAGCCTCGCAAGTCTTCGAGACCCCGAAGGCCAACCGAGATCTCCCGAAGCCCTCGAATGAATGTGCCAGAGGAGCGAAGGGGATCATGAAGAACACGCGGAGTGGAAAGGCGGCGTGAAGAGCAGAGAGAAGGATGGATACTGTGAGGATGAGGAGCAGATGAGGGAGCAGGAGGTCCAGGAGATGGAGGAGGAGGAGGGTGAGGGAGGAAGGGTAGATGCGCGGAGGAGTAGGCGGGGACAGAGAGGGAGGAGGAGGTTTCTCCTCTCCCTGCTGAGCTGGGGCCTGCGGCCCCAAACTCCCGAGGCGGCGCCACGCGCAGGCCGACCACGGCACAGTCCCCAGAGAGGGCGCCGGCAGGAGCGTGCGCCATCCGAGACCCAGGAGGGACCTCGGAGGGAGCACGCCAGGAGGGGGCACCCAGGAGGGACCTCGGAGGGGGCACCCAGGAGGGGCCTCGGAGGGAGCACGCCCCATCCCAGTGGGGACGGCCCTGCACCAGGAGGTCCGAAGACCAGGAACCGGACCAAGCACCCCACGAGCAACCCGACGCCTCTGGACCCCAGGAGGCCCAGGAAACCAGGACCCAAGAGCCCTGATAGGGCGCGGGAGCTGAGCGCGGCCGTCGTCGGCAAGGGGCGAATCGTCCACCACGGCGGCCCGGTCGAACAACATCTTGTCCTGCAACTTCTCCTCCTGCAAGGTGTTAAGCTCAACTATCGTGTCGTGCAGCTGCGCTTTCGGCTTCCGCACGAATGCACTCGGGGGAGGCAGAGGACAGGGGAACACCGACGGGTTACTCTCGAGATGACCATGCACCGCCGAAGCACCTCCCCCTGCCGCCTCGGGGCGTCCACCGCGTCTGCCACAGAGTCCTCCATCATGCTGGGATTGAGCCCCTCCTTACCATCCTTCTCCAACTTCGTTCGTGGCCACTGCCTTCGTCAAGACGGGGTAAACCGATGCCATCTAGCTCGTTCCGCTTGTCCAGCACCGCCTTCCCGATCTTCACCTTCGTTTTGATGGGGTTGCATGGCTCTCTGGCCTCATCTGCTTGTCCAGCACCACCGTACCGATCATCTCCTGGTCGCAGTAGTCCGAGGTCTCCTCGAGCCCCTCGGCGTCGACCACCCCTGCAAAGCATCGTCGGCTCCTTCATGGGGTCCAGCTGGGGGAAGCTTGGCACCGCAGGGAGCTCCTGGGCGAAAACTATGCCGTCGCGCTGCTGCTGAAGCTCCATGCTGTCGCCGAACTCGCCCTGCGGAAGCTCTGCGTGTCCACCGTGGCCATCATGAAGCAGGCCGTGACGTCCAGCCTCCAGGATGTCGCCCACAAGGCCCACGTCTGGGTGGGCGATTTGAACAAGGACCGACCGTCCCACCACGAAGTGTGCTTAGAACCCAAAACTTAGAACATTCACCCGATATGTTAAACCAAGACAGTCTCCATCACAAATGTTCTGAGAACATTCCGTGCAAACCACGAAAGGTGCGTAGAGCATTCTTCGGTGGGGCTATAGGCGAGCCAGGACGCTTCGCCACTGCTTGAGCGACGGCGTTGCGGTACTTGCTGAGTCCCCGGTTTCCCCGGCGGCGCCGCGAGCCGCCCGCCACCCGGCCCGCTGCTGCGCAGGCCCGCCTCGGCCGCCGAGAGCGTGGGGCCGGCCAGGGTGCGCGCCGGGGGGCGCCTCGCACGCCCCCTCCTGCCCTGCCAGGGCTCGGCGGCGAGCGGGGGGGGGGGGGGGAAGAGCGAGGCGGGCGGGCCTTCTTGGAAGGCTCGGAAGTCCCCCAGCGTGTCTCCGAGAAGTCGCCGAAGCCTCCTCCGAAGACGAAGAACAGAAACCTCTCAGCAGGCGCGAGGGCTTCCGCCTCTCTCCTGAGAAGAGAGAGGAGGAGGAGGACAAGGAGGAGGAGAGCTGGCGGAGGAGGAGGCCCTCTCTCTTTAAACCAAGACAAAGAGCCTCTCGGAGGAGTCCCGCCGCCTCCCGAGAAGGCCTCTTCTCCTGCGCACTCCTCCCCCCTCTCGCTCCGCCGCCGAAGGACGCCCGTCCCCTCGGCACGCCCCATCAACAGGTTTGGGTAACCCACAAGGGGTTCCAACTGAAAGGGTGTGTCGGAGTATTGCATCGCATCGTGTTGCAAGTAGTGCACTGCACGCGAAAGTCCAGGCTGGACTTTCGCGTGCAGATGTGCTGCTGGACTGTCCAGCAAGACATCTGCGCCCTGGAATGTACTGCACGGCCCCAATGTGTTGCAGCCCCACAGATCTAATTATTGCACCACATCTGTTGCACCTCCCCCATGTCGCTGCACCCCCTTCTGTTGGCGGTGGAAAAACCTCCCTTTAGTAAACCTCCCCTTGGTGAAAACGGCCTGGGACCGAAACCGACGGACCTGGACCCGCAAAAACAACGGCCGCGACGCCCCCTCGCGAACCGAAAACGGCCAATGCCTTCATCGACGTGTCAGGGTAGGAGGTCTATCCACCTCCGATTCTGGGTCAACCAGAACAGGGCCCGCCTGGGCGCACTGAGCTGCCCCCGCCCCGCGCGCCGCGGCAGCGCTCTCGCGGCCCCGGCCGTGGCCTCGCGGGGGAACCCCGCTCTCCGGGCCCGACGGCGCCACCATCCGCGCCATGGCACCCTCGTCTTGTGGATGCCATGACCATGGGCACTCGAACAGTCCGAGGGGACCAACAAGTGGCATAGACACAAAAACGCGGAGGTCCGCGCGGAGTTCGGGGATCGGCGCTGGACCCGCGTCCCTGGCGCGCGGAGCGCGCCAGGGGCGGCGCCGGATGCGCCGCCGGGGGGCCCCAGCGCCGATCCGAGAAAATCGAGTGGACCTTAAACATGTTTTTCAAACATGTGTGAAGTATGTTCTGAAAATGTTTCAAACCTTTTTTACATATTTCTAAAACATGTTTGAAACAGGCATCTGGGGCAACATGCTCCCTCTCCGTGGATCGTCCTCCGCAGCCCTCATCCATATGCCGAGTTGCCGAACTGGGGGAGCCGAGCCAACTCGAGCAATCAGTGGCCTGATCCAAGATGGCCACGGACGGAGGAGGAGGAGAAAGAGGAGGGCGAGGGCGAACAGGAGAAGCGAGGGATTGTGAAGGAAAGAGGAGAGAGGCAGGAGAGGGGAGAACAAGGTAGGAGGAGGAGGAGGAGGAGGAGGAGGACATGCAATAACGATATCAGGAGGAGACTGATAGGGAGGAGAGATGGGAAGGAGGAGACAGGAGGGTACTGCTGAGAGTGAGGGGGGAGGACGCTCAGCTGATCTTCTTGCAGCCGCGACGCTCGAACTCGGCCCTGATCTGCCTGCGGACGAGCCGTGTGGGCGGAGCGGACAACGCATACGACCAGGGCTTCCATTCCTCCCCTCCTCAATCCTGGAGTCGGCGTCGTCGGTCTCGTCCGCCTGCGCAGTCAAGGTCCCCCATGTCCCCGTTCGTCGTCGCCGTCTGGGGACGCGGAGAAGAACGAGGAGGGAGAGAGAGAGAGACGAGGGAGGAAGAGAAGGACGAGGAAGGAGGGAGGACAAGGACAAGGACGAGGAAGGAGGAAGGAGAAGGACGAGGAAGGAAGAAGGAGAAGGACGAGGAGGAAGGAGAAGGACGAGGAAGGAGGAGGGAGGAGGAGGAGACGAGGAAGGAGAAGGACGAGGAAGGAGGGATGAGAAAGGACCGGAGACGAGACAGCAAAGACAAGAGCTCTCTCTCTGCCCGCGGGGGCCCGTCAACCGACTTCACCAATACCAGGGGCAGGGAAGAAAGGTCCGCTGGGCGACATGCACACACAAATGAAGGGGTCTTCAAGGTCTGCGCCGACCGCTGGCGCCCTGGTTTGCACGGCTAGGGAGGAGGAGGAGGAGGGAGAAAAAGGACACATAGGACGAGGCGAAGAACGAGGCGGAGGGCCACGAAGAGGCTCCTCCCGACGACCCTCCTCGTCCTCACACTTGGTGGGCATCGCGCGCGAACTCCTTCCCCCGCACCCTCCCTCATCCATGCTCCATCCACCACTTTCTCCCGCCCCCCCCCCTCCCAAGCCCATCGCTCCTCATCGTTCCAACCTCAATCCTCCAGCCTGGCTCTGGGAGGGAAGGTGAGGATAATCTATACTTCCCAACCATCCTGTGGTGCTAGGTCCTCGTTCTGAAGAGACGGTCCCCGCGTTCCTCTCCTCTCATCTCCTCTCCTCTCCTCTCCTCTCCTCCTCCTCCCTCTCCTTCCTCCTCTCGTCACCTCCTCACTTTGGCACACCCCTCACACGTTTCGTGGGCACCATCGGGAGCTCAACCTAACGTCCCAGTGGCGCAGTCCGCATGGCGGCGCCGCCCCATTTTGGCACACTCCTCACGCGCTTCGTGGCACCATAAAGAGCTCCACCTACGGTCCCAATGCCGCAGGCCGCATGGCGGCGGCGCCCGATTTTGGCACACCACTCACACGTTTCGCTGCCCAAATGGGAGCTCCACCTATGGTCTCAGTGGCGCAGTCCGCATGGCAGCGCCGCCCCATTTTGGCACACCCCTCACACTTTTCGTGTCATCATGGAAAGCTCCACCTAAGGTCCCAGTGGCGCAGTCCGCATGGCGGCGCCGCCCCATTTTAGCACACCCCTCACACGTTTCGTGGCCCCATCGGGAGCTCAATCGATGGTCCCAGTGGCGCAATCCGCATGGCGGCGCGCCCTATTTTGGCACACTCCTCACACGTTTCGTGGGGCCCCATAGGGAGCTCCGCCCTGCCCCATGTCGGCACACTCTTTATGCGATTCGTGGCCCCATAAGGAGATCTACCGACGGCGATATTAATAACGACGGTAATTGTTAAAGCCACTGTCCTTCACTATCGGTCGTACCAACTACCGAACACATATACTCAGATGACCAGTTGGTCTGCGAGGCTCGCAGCCTCCCAGACAGTACGCACGAGCTACGGGTTCGGGGGCGGAAGATCGCACGAGAGAAGAAAGAGGGGGCGGAGAGACACCCACAGCGAACAGGGCGAGGAGCAGGGAGACAGGCGAAGGGAGGGGAGGAAGACTGATGAGATTGGGTGAGGCGGCCTCCGAGGACAGAGGGAAGGAGGAGGGGCCGAGGGATGATGGGGAAGGGTGACAGCCAGGAGGACTGGAGGGAGGGGGAGGAGGGAGTAAGAGGCAGAGGAGGGACGGAAAGGAGCAGGAGGGCAGGCAGGCGCGAGCCCTCCCGATGGGCCGCCGCCGTCGAGCCGTCGAGCCTGGGGACCTGGGGACCTGGGGAGTCCCACTGAGGAAGGCGGGGGGGGGGGATAGGGGAGGGAGGGGAGGAGGGGGCAGGAGGACGGGAGCGGTGAGGAGGAGGAGGAGGAGGAGGAGGAGGAGGAGGAGGAGGAGGAGGGAGGAGCTCCTTTCCGCGCGGGGCTCGGGGCCCCGAGGCTCGGGGTCCTCCGAGCAGTTCCCTCGGAGCTCCAACTCGGAGCCCGAGCAAAGTTAGTAAAAAGCACTCAAGGTCAGGAAGTTGGAACCGCGCGTGGCTGAAGGCTGAAGGCTGAAGGCTGAATTCACATGCGGAACATGCGGAGGCCGCTTGATGGGCTTGATGGGTACACGCGCAGGGGGTGTATCCAGCTCTCGCCCAGGCCCCAGGGCCAGCGGCCACGCCTGCCACATCATGCGTGCCCAGACTGGGCGCGCATGATGTGGCAGCACAGCTGGGCAGCCCAGCTTCCTGGACTCCTGGACTGTCTGCGCGCCCTGCCGCGGGCACTACTCTGAGTATCGTTTAACCGATCCCCATCCTGCCATCCCCAGCGGCGTGGCCTGGGCCCCCACTGGCCGATGTACCCCCTAGATGGGGATATAGGCCGTTCCCGTCGGGCTTCGAGTTTCGAGGGGTGCATCCCCAGCTGGCGGTAATGTGGTGGGGGTCTCGAAGGGCGCGGGGATGGGGGTGGGGATCGGTTAAACAATACTGGCAGCTCCGAGCTGCCAGCTCGCCGTTGACTCCTCGCTCCTCGGAGCCTCCTCGGCACTTGCCCTGCCGAGGCTCGATCCTCTCCTCTCCCAGATGCCACCCTCCTCCCGTCCATGCCCGCTCCCTCTCCCCCATGCGCCCTCTTCCCATCCTCCTCTCCTCATCTCCCTCTGTCGCCGCGGCCCGCGGCGGCCGCGGCGCCGCGGCGGCTGCTCACTTCACGTGGCCGCCGCTGCTGCTGCCGCCGCCGCTGCCGCTGAGCAAGGCCGCCACGGACGGCCCCGGCCCCTTGGCGGCCGCGGCCTGCAGGAGGATGGGGGGGAGCAGGGGCTGAGCAGGGGGAGGGGGAGTCGGAGGAGGGGGGGGGAATTAGAAGAAGATAGCGGAAACGGTGACTACCACTAGTACTGAGAATAAGACGACGAGGAGATGCGGATGAGGAGGACGAGGAGGAGGACGAGGAGGCGAAAGAGGAAAGGGAGGGGGAGAAGGAGGATGATGAGGAGGAGGAGGCGGAGAAGGATGAGAAGGAGCGACCTCCTCCTCCTCCTCCTCCTCCTCCTCGGACTCCGCGGCGAGCTCGCCCCTCCGTTTCCTCCCGTTCCCTCCTCCTCCTCCTGAGGAGCCCGTCACTTTCTTCCGTATCGGAGAGGAGGGGGAGGAGGAGGAGGAGGAGGAGGAGGAGGAGGAGGCCTTCGTGGCGGCCTTGGTTGCCTTCTTGCCCGCCTCCGCGGCGGGCGCCTTCTTAGCCTGGGGCTGGTGCACCTTGGCTGGTGCGGCTGGTGCGTGCTTGACCTGGTACGTGACCTTCTGCTGCTCGGCTGCGTTCTTGGCCTTGGCCGCCGACGTGGTCTCCTCGGCGGCGGTGGCCTGCTCGGCTGCGTGCTTGACCTGGTAGTTGTTGGCCTTGAGGGCCTCAGCCTCGGCCGCCGTAGCCTCGGCTGCGTGCTTGGTCTCCGCCTCCGCGGCTGCCTGCACTGTTGCGTTCTTGCCATCCTCGGCTGCGTTCTCGTTCTTGGCCTCTGCCGCCGCCGTAGCCCCCTCGGCTGCGGGCGCGGCGGCGGCATCGGCCCCCTCGGCTGCGTTCTTGGCCTCGGCCGCCGTGGCACCCTCGGCGGTGGCCTGCTCTGCTGCGTGCTTGACCTCCTGCTCGGCTGCGTTCTTTGCCTCGGCCGCCGTGGCGCCCGTGGCCTCGGCTGCGTGCTTGGCCTCCGCCTCCGCCTCCGCGGCGGCCTGCACTGCTGCGTTCTTGCCATCCTCGGCTGCGTTCTTGCCATCCTCGGCTGCGTTCTTGCCATCCTCGGCTGCGTTCTTGACCTCCTCGGCTGCGTTCTTGACCTCCTCGGATGCCGTGGCCTCCTCGGCTGGTGTCTTGCCCCCCGCGACGGCCTGCTCGGCTGCGGTCGTGGCATCCTCGGCTGCGTCCTTGGCCTCGGCCGACTCGGACGTGGTCTCCTTGGCGGTGGCCTGCTCGGCTGCGTGCTGGACCTGGTAGTTGACCTCCTGCTCAGCCTGCTCAGCTGCGTTCTTGGCCTCGGCCGCGCCCTCGGCGCCCCGCCCCTCGGCTGCGGCCTTGGCTTCCTCAGCGGCTGCTGTCGTGCCCGCCGCTGGCTGCCCTGGCGCGGCCGCGGCCTTGACCTTGGTGGCGGAAGCGGCAGCGACAGCAGCCG